CTCTCTCCCGTCCAGGAATTGATGGATGCTAATTACAGTGACTAAAACTTACTTGGGGCAGCATGTTTGAACTTTGCACCAGCCTCTGTGCCAGAGTTTAAAGTGCCAGGCTGGTTGGTAGGTAGATTTGCTTGCTTGTTGTTTGAAGAAGTGATACACAGACAGTGCAGATAAGGTGCTGGAAGATTTCTAGAAAGCATGACCCCTTGCCTCTTTCCTGCCTGGAGGAAGCTGACCTTACCAGTTCTTAGCCAGGGGTCATTGTGTGTAGGCATATGGGTTAGCACACACTTATTTTACACAAATGGTAACACAATATATGTACTGTTACACACCTTGGATTTTCAATTAAATGTGTTTTTTTGTTTAAATTGTAAAAAGAATACCTGATACTATTTATACCCTATTAGCCATTTTTAAGTGTATAGTTTAATAATGTTAACTGTTGTGTAAGAGATTCTGGAACTTTTCCATTTTGCAGAACTGAAACTCTGCACTCATTGAACAACTCCGCATTATTTCCCTTCTCCCCACACCTTGTTTTTTTTTTTTTTTTTTTTTTTTGAGACAGAGTGTAGATCTTGTTGCCTAGGCTGGAATGCAGTGGCACCATCTTGGCTCACTGCATCCTCTGCCTCCTAGGTTTTAAGTGATTCTCCTGCTCAGCCTCATGAGTTGCTGGAATTACCGGCACACGGCACTTGCCACCATCCTCAGCTAATTTTTGTATTTTTAGTAGAGAGGAGGTTTCCCCATGTTGACCAGGCTGGTCTTGAACTCCGCCATCTGCCTCAGCCTCCCACCAAAGTCCTGGTGTTATAGGAGTGAGCCACTGTGCCTGGACTGTTTTTTTTTTTGAGAGGGAATCTCTATGTTGTCGAGGCTGGAGTACAGTGGCTATTCACAGGTGCAGTCATACAGCCTCGAACTCCTGGGCTGGAGTGATCTTCCCGCCTCAGCCACCTGAGTAGCTGGGACTACAGGCAAGCACACCTTGTTGTTTAAAAATAGTTTTAGGCCTGTCATGGCGGCTCATTCCTGTAATCCCAGCACTTTGGGAGGCTGAGGTAAGTGGATCACTTGAGGTCCGGAGTTCAAGACCAGCCTGGCCAACATAGTGCAACCCTGTCTCTACTGAAAATACAAAATTTAACTGAGCGTGGTAGTACCTGACTGTAATCCCAGCTACTCCAGAGACAGAGGCAGGAGAATGCTTGAATTCTGGGAGGTGGAGTCTCTCAGAGAGCTGAGATTGCGCCATTGCACTCGAGCCTGGGTGACAGAGTGAGAATCTGTCTAAAAAAAAAAGTTTGTATTAAAAATTGTTGATGAGAAGGGTGTTTAAGAATGTATGCTGAACGGACACCTTTCTCTTTTTCATTTAACAGTTCATCACAGAGATCTTTCTTCATAGACTTCACTTTTTTACATTGTTGCAAAGTGTTACCTTTTCTAGATGTAGCATAATTTATTAGTTCCTTAGGGATGGGTATTTAGGTGGTTATTGATCTTCTGATACCAGCAATGTTGACTTTTTACTTTTCTGAGCTACTTTGTTTTGGTTGGGTCTCAGCCTCAGAATGTAATTTGATTTTGTTTTTAACTGAAAGACTTTTAGTAGTCGAATTTCTCACTGATTAATTTTAGTAATAGCAGCTCACTTCCATTGAACACATCTGTGTGCCCAGTATTGCTCTAAGCACATTATTTACACTGCCTTTCATCTTTCCGACTCTGTGAGCTACGTGCTAGTTACCACCACTTTACCCATGAGGAGACTCGGGGAGAGAGAGAGGAAATAACTTCCCAAGCCTGGGTAAAGTGCAGGGCTGGGATTTGACCCCAGTCAGTTTGACTTCAGATCTCTTAACCAGACTGGTGTGGCATGCTACTGTGTGACAGATATGTTTGGTCTTAATTTAACAATTTTTAAAAATGTTATGCTTCATATTAATGTGTTTTATTTATGTATTAGTATTTTTTAACTGAAGACTTGTTTTTCTCTTTGCTTTGTATTAGGTATTTGTTCTTAGTAATAATTAAAAGGTCTTATTTTTGCATATTTTAGTATAATTTGATACATTTACCCTGTATTTGTTTAGGGGTAACTATCTCCTTCCTGCTGTAATCAGTGACCAGGTTGGTATCGCCACATATTCTTGCCTCCTCTTTTTTCTCTCCACCACCTGCTTTTGATTAATTATGTTACTAAACTTATTCCAATGTTAACATTTTAACTTTATGCTTACTAATGCCTCTGATACTTTGTCAGTTTGAAATAATACCTTTTGATTCCAGTGTAAGAGGCAAGTGTCTTTACACTCTCTGCTTTCCTTGTACATTGCTCAAATTGATATTATTTTTTTCTGTTAAAATTTATAACATTTACATTCTGTTCTTTAATTCCCAGAAAAGAAAAGTCTTATTTTTTTCATACAGAGTCTCACTCTGTCGCCCAGGCTGGAGTGCAGTGGTGCTATCATCAGCTTGTTGCAACCTCTGCCTCCTGGGTTCAAGCAATTCTCCTGCCTCAGCCTCCTGAGTAGCTGAGACTACAGGTGCGCACCACCATGCCCAGCTAATTTTTATATTTTTAGTAGAGATGGGGTTTCACCATGTTGACTAGGATGGTTTCCAACTCCTGACCTTAAGTGATCCGCCCACCTTAGCCTCCCAAAGTGCTGGGATTACAGGCGTGAGTCACTGTACCTGGCCAAAGAAAAGTCTTTAGTTCTACACCTTAAATGGCTTCACTGCTCACTATAAGTCTTTTGCTGGACTTTTTGGATTCTTCTTGCCTGGATAAAGTTTATCCTGTAATAGTTCATGAACCCATAAATTCTGACTCATGAGAATGAACTTTTCTAAGTTCTTGTATGTTTAAGGATCGATATTTTGGTACTCCTTAATATTTTATTTTATATATTTTTAAATTGACATAATAATTGTGCATATTTATGGGGTACAGAGTGATGTTTTGATGCATATAATGTGTGGGTATCAGATCAGGGTAATTAGCATATCTATCATCTCAAACATTAGATATTTTGATTTTGTAGCATACTTGATTGACACTGTGGCCAGATGTAGAATTCTTGGATTGTACCTTCCCTCGAGGACTCTCTAAGTTTGGCTCCATGTGTCCTAGTGTTAAATGTAGCTGTGTTGAAGGCTGAGGCTGACTGTACTTTTCCTGTCTCAGCGGTATATTAGGCTACTCGGCTGCTGTAATTTTCTTATACCACAGGTTGGGTGGCTTAAACAGCAGAGTGTTAGTTATTTTCTCACAGTTCTGGAGGTTAGTAGCCCAAGATGGAGGTCCCTTCGGGTTTGGCTCCTGGCGCGGCCCTCTTCCTGGTCACCTTTCCTGCTGTGTTCTCACATACCTTTCTCCTGTGTGAGCATAGGGAGGGGAGAGAATAGGAGAGAGAGACTGATTTCTGGTGTCTCTTCTTCTTTTTATAAGACCATCCTCCAGTGCTGTCAAATTAGGGCCCCACCCTTATGACTTCAGGTAACTGTGATTACCTCTTGAAAGGCCCTATTTCCATTTACAGTACATTGGGAGTTAGGGCTTAATATATGAATTCGAGGTGGGGGGTACACAGTTCATTCATAATAAAGGATATTGTAGATGTTTTGCCACAAGGTTTTAAATATGAGATATAGACCCATGTTTCTTAACGTGGAAAAATGTTCATAGTATATTGTTGAATGACAAAAATCAGGTTTATTCTTTTTCTATTTCTGTTATCCTGTCATTTCCTCCTGTTTGATGATGGTTATTGTTTTAAAATAGATACTTGGATTGTTGGAAATGTCTTTGGAAATTCTTGGGAATCTTTATCTGCTTTGTTTTAATGTTTTTCCAGATATTCTCTCCCCTCCCCGCTTCCTTCCCTCCTCCCCTCCTTCCCTCCTCCCCTCCTCCCCTCTTCCCCTCCTCCTCTCCTCCCCTCTTCCCCTTCTCCCCTTCTCCCTTCTTCCCCTCCTCCCTTCTTCCCCTTCTCCCCTCTTCCCCTCCCTGTCTGGTCTTGCTGTGTCACCCAAGTTGGAGTGTAGTGGTACAGTCTTGGCTCACTGTAGCCTTCACCTCTGAGGCTCAGGTGGTCTCACCTCAGCCTCCCTAGTAGCTGGGATCACAGGCATTTGGCTGACTTTTAAATATTTTCATGGAGGTGGTGTCTTTCTGTATTGCCCGGGCTGGTCTCAAACTCCTGGGCTCAAGTCATCCTCCCTCCTCAGCCTTCTAAAATGCTAGGATTATAGGCGTGAGGTACCACACCTGGCCCTAGGTATGTGTTTTTTGTCTGCCATTTGTTTTTCCTATTTTCTCTGTCCCTTTTCTTTGAGTATTTTTATATGACTGTTGACTGGCTTTTTTGTGCCCCTTACTCGTCTTTGAATGAGCAGAGTTCTTCCTGGACTAAGGGCGTGTGGGTAGGCTGGGGAGGTCCTGGGTAGTGTCTGGGGGAAGTTGTGCTCTGCCCTGGCTTCTTCCTTTGCTGCTGGACTGAAGGGTGCTTGGCCTGACATTGCCTGCTCTGCTGCCCTGTGGCTTCTTACTCCCGGCCTGTCCCGAGCCAGGGCTTGCTGCTCCTCTGCCTCTCCTGTGCTGAGACCTGAAGTCACCAGTTCGCCTTTGGTGTCCTCACTTGTCTTGGTTGTATTTTCACAACCCTTGGCAACTTGCTTCTGGAATATTCAGTTTCAGGGTGTTTAGGTGTTATGTTATCAAAGATAGAGTTTCTTTTTCTGTAACTTGTTCTTATTTTGGGTGGGTAATAAGAACAGAAGCCTTCAGAGAGAAACTCTGCCACCTCAAAGCTTTTAAGGCTCACAGCCAGACTTCTTTAATCACCTCGGGCATCCTCTAGCTGTAAAATGAGGGCACTGTATAACGTCCTTGCAAACATACTTTCAGGTTAACCTGTTTATGGTTCTGATGTATTTACATGAAATTTGGGTAAACACTAAATATAGTGCATGTTTTCTTACAGACAGAACCTCCACTCAATACGCCAGAAAACAGAGAGTATCTTGCAGAAATTATGTTTGAATCATTTAATGTACCAGGACTCTACATTGCAGTTCAGGTAAAAAGTTATTTTTGTGATTCTGAAAGCACCTGAGCTGTCTAGTAGTGGAAGAAGTGGTAACTCCCAAGGTTCTCTGCTGGAAGACTATGCTGTGCGCTCTTCCTTTTCCCGCTCCCTCGCCCCACTCCCTGCCCCTCCACGCCATCCAGGACCATAGAGAACGTGTCCCATGAGTTTTCTTTTTTATTTATGCCATTGGTATAGATGCCATCTGGCTCTTTTTACATTCATTAAAGTCTAATGTATTTTTATCTGAGTGACAAGATATAGGTGCTGTTTCTTTTGGCATCTTTGACTTACTTTGATCAGAAAAACAAATACCTTTAGAGGTTTCCCCTCTTTGATTTTGGGTTTTGGGCTCTAATTTGGCCCAGTGTACTGTCTTGCTTCTGAGGGACCCGGTGTTTTCATGAGCTTGCAGAACTTGTTCTGAAGCTGTGGGTTTTTGGTGTGATGTTTTTTGGTTGTATTTGGTCATTATTTGCCTGCCACCTTATGTAAGGGAATTGACTGAAATTTTATGGAATGAATAAAATGGGTGTTGCCCAAATGTTTTCTGCATAATACTAGTGTCTTCTAAGGAGGAGTGGAGGAAGAGTTCTATAGAGAAATGAATGTGGGTGGTGCTGCATCCTGCAGCCTACTTGTGCTGATTCACAGTGCCTGTCAGCACAGTTCAGGCTCTGAGGTGTCCTGTGTTGAAATCTATGGATTCTAGCACTTCCAAATGCATCTAACCCCAAATCTTCCCCTGCCCAGGTTATTTATAGTCCATGGGATAGGAGACATAAGACTGGTGGTTCTCAAAGTGGTCTGAGCATCAAGTTTACCTGGAGAATGTTTTTTAAAAGTACAGATTTCGGGCTTCATTGTTGGCCAGGGTTTTCTACCCTCAGTGCTTTGGGCTGGGTGGTCCTTTACTGTGGGTGCTGTGCTGTGCCTTGCAGGGTGCTTAGCAGCATCCCTGGCCTCTGCCCACTGGAAGACAGCAGCCCTTCCTTGAGCCTCCCTGCCCCAACAAAGACCAACGGTACCAGACATTGCCAGATGTCCCTTTTGGGGCAGAATCTTACTTGCTTGAAAAATTGCCCCGTACTGTCCAGATTAGAATTTCTGGGTGTGAGGCCTGGTAATCTGTATTTTAAACAATTCTACAAGTGACCTCATTGCCAATCTGTGGCCCACACTGGAAACCAGTGAATTAGAAATTAAAATCTTGTGATTCTATAATGAAATATTTTTCTCACTGGCTTTTCTTTGTAAAGCTTTAGGTTTCTTTTCTTTTTTCTTTTCTTTTCTGAGACAAGGTCTCGTTGTGTTTTCTAGGGTGGAGTGCAGTGGTGCAATTATGGCTCACTGCAGCCTCTACCCTTTGGGCTCAAGGGATCCTCCCACCTCAGCCTCCCAAGTAGCTGGGGGTACAGATGCAGGCCACCCTGTCTGGCAAATTTTTGTATTTTTTGTAGAGATGGAGTTTTGCCATGTTGCCCAGGCTGGTCTTGAATTTTTGGGCTCAAGGGATCTGCCTGTGTTGGCCCCCTAAAGTATTGGGATTACAGGCATGAGCCACCACACTCGGCCAGGTTTCTTTATTGAAAACTTGACTCCTACAGTTTTAAATACTCAAAATTTTCATGTTAGTTGTCCAAGTTGGAATTGGAATTTGAGGGACAGGGATTAGAGGTTGGATAGGAAACGGAGAGAGTTACTCAGACATATTAAGAGAGAGTTTGTTGACTGGATCTGGTAGGAGCAGGCAGATGCTTTAGAAAGAATTCCCATTTGTGAGTAAGTGGTTTTCATGTCTTTTCTCCAGGCAGTGCTGGCCTTGGCGGCATCTTGGACATCTCGACAAGTGGGTGAACGTACGTTAACAGGGATAGTCATTGACAGCGGAGATGGAGTCACCCATGTTATTCCAGTGGTAAGCAGGATAGTTAATATGTAACTCTCTATAGGCTTAACACCTGATTTGAGGTAAGGACGGAAATAATTAAAAAAAAAAAACAAAACCCTTCTAGAATGAAAATACATTCTAGATGATAGTTTTACTTAGAAAGGTAATAAAAGTTTTAAAAGCCCAACTGTGTGGGAAAGAATGAAAAAGATGGCCAGTATTTCTCGCTTTTTAAAATTCACGGTGGCATATTTCTACTATCAGAATGTCAGAGAATATCCAGGATGTCTCTGGATCTTCAGAGCCTCTGCTTGATCCCTGTGGGTGTAACATCAACAAGAACGTTTTCCTGGCTTATGATTCTGCCATGTTGGGAGATAGACGCCATTTTGGATGTCCCGTTTGGTGCAGCGTGTGGCCATTTGAAGGAGCACATCTGTGTCTGTGAAAAGATGGGAATGGCTTTAACCAGCTCAGGCTTGGACAGATTGCTTCTTGTTTTAAACATTTATTTAAAAACCAAGAAGGGGAGAGTGTACATTTTGGCTTGCAGAAGGCTCTGCAATACCAGTTTTTGGTTTTAATTTTCAAAATATTAGAGAAATTATTACTAATTTGGGTTTCAAGAGATCTCTGAATTTTTCTTTTGATCCAATGGATTATTTAAAGGAATTATTTAAAATTCATTTGTTTGGAAAATGTATCAGAACTGTCTGAAGAGGGTATTCAGAGAAAAGTCAGACTCATCCTGTCTTCCTCCTGTGAGGTCTCCTCAGGAACCACCATTGCTCCTTACTTCTGTATGTTACAGATATGTTTCTGCATATGCTTATGGGTATGTGTATGTGTATATATTTACAATACACACAGCTCTTTTAAAATGCAGATTAGGATTTTAAATAAACCATTTACTTTAGTTGGAAAAATAGTCACCATTTCATTTTGAGAAGGTGATGGGATGCTGTACTAATATACTCATGCTCTAATTCCTTGAAGGTTAGGAATCATGGCAGTGGACAGGCTTAATTATGGTCAGGGAGAAAAAAGCCAATCTCCTGTCCCCATAGCTTGTGCTCCTGCCACTGTGCCCTTCCCGTGGGAGGAGAGGTGTATACCCTGCCCTGTGAAGTGTGCACTTGACTTGAGCCCCCTTGAAGCCAGTCTCAGCACTTCTTTCCACAGAACTCGGGAGGAGTCAGTACCATGGGTGTGGAGCACTCACCATGAACTCAGGCCGCCGGCTTCCTCAGAGAGCAGGGCTCTGAGATCCCAGATGAGGCTCCCGTGGGCCCCTGGCCTGTGCCTCCTTTGGTTCTTTGCCTATTTCTTATGTCTGTCTTAGGAAAAAAAATATATTTCATAGTATGTCCAGGCCTACCAAGAAAGTTGTTTGAAAAGATTTTTAATTGTATCTTAGTTCAGTTTTTCCCTCAGTTATAAATATTATGTTTGTCATTAAAAATTTGGATAAAATAGAAAAATTTGAAGAAATAAAATTACCCCTAAACCCATCCAGAAACCCATATTATAATTTTAGTTCTATAGTCTTTAAGCTCTTTTTGTAAGACAGGTGTGTGCACACTCGTAGACACACATTTTAAACACAATTGGAATGTCTCATGTCTCGTTTGGGATTCTAACAGGATACAATCCTAAAGTTATATTTTGCATATTAATTTAACCCTAATTTTTTACTCTTATGGTTAAATATTCTGTGAAAATATGTTTAGGAAGTACATAATTTATTTTTCTGTTGTTGGACATGTATCTTGTTTTAGTATTTTTACTACTGTCATGAGCTGATATTTAACAGTATTTTAGAAAATACTACATGTAATGAATGCATAGAATATTGTAACTGTGAATAGTTTATATATTAGAAAGCTAATGTTATTTTTATGGGTTTAAGTTGATTTTTAATTGTACATATCTTTTATCTCCATCTTAAAATGCTTTGCGAATACTTGGACTCTGCAGAAAGGCTAAGTCTTTTTTGCTTCTAGAAGTTAGGTACATCAGAAAAAAAGCATAGGAGGAATTCAGTAAGTTGTCCTTGCAACTTAACTGGTGACTATATGCCATTATTAGAATGAATACATCTGTAAAATGAAGTCAGCATTTCACTTCTGTGTTCCCATCTGTCTCACTTGGGGATTATGGCACAGAAGCTGTGATGTGAAACCTGGGTGTCTCTTTACTGGATGATGGGTAGGCATTGTCCACTCTGACGGTCAGCATCCTGCTCATCCCCTGAACAATAAGCTGGATGTGTGTCCAAGCCTGTGGCTCCTGTGGCAGATCTGTGCCCACAGGAAGGCTGATGAGGGAGCTTTGGGCCTATCGTTGCTGTGGGCACGATGACGCTTGACACTGGCCCTGCCATTGATTGGCCCAGGTGGTGGTCACCCTCCTTTCCTGGCCCCTCACAGACATGCCTTCACTGGCTCAGGGAGGCAGTGGAGTGAGAGGCTCTGAACCCCCAAAACCAGTGCTATGTGCTAGACACACACAATTTTACCTGAACTGTATTACTGGCCCCTGCAGGGTATTGTTTGCCTCATATTATGGACAAATGTGTTGAGGCTGAATCATGTGACACTTGCAGATGTGCAGCCAGGATTTGAATCCAGGTTGTTAGAATCTAAGCCCTGTGTGTTAACCAAATTGCTGACTTTTAAACAAGTAGATTTATAGTTGGCTTAACAATTTATAGAAATAAAACTTCCTTTTTGTTAGGGAAAAAATTCTATTGTGTTTATTGTTCTCACAGACAGTGTTACTTTTTGGAAGTGAACTATCCTATGTGGTTTTTATTTTCATATTCCTAATGAACACATCATTTTGGTTGCTATTGGAATAATCTCGAAATTTGAATATTAATGGAATTGCATACGCAGTCATTTTGAAAGACCTCCAGTACTGAGCTTGCAGAGGGTGGGGATTCCATAAATGTGTGTTAGTGCTGTGAGGGGCAGACGGGGAGGTTGAGACAGGAAACCTCATGCGTCCAGGCTGCTCTCCACCACGGAATCACTAACACAGCTGTTCTGCCTCCTCTTCTTCCCTAGGCAGAAGGTTATGTAATTGGAAGCTGCATCAAACACATCCCGATTGCAGGTAGAGATATTACGTATTTCATTCAACAGCTGCTAAGGGAGAGGGAGGTGGGAATCCCTCCTGAGCAGTCACTGGAGACCGCAAAAGCCATTAAGGTAAAAACAGACGGGAAACCGGCTGGTTTGGGGGTGAGAGAGATGGTGTTCTGGACAGTTCCCCTTGGTGCCATCGTCCCTGCTTCTCCTCTCCTTCCTTTCCCCTTCCCATGAGTGTGGGGCTTGATTTGTTTTACCCCTTGAGTTAAGTGGGCTGAAGATGTAAAGCTTATCCTCTTCCAAACTGATGCTCTGAGGTTTCCAGCTGTCACCGAGAACAGCTTGGTAGCTGGTGCAGCGTGCCAGTGTGCAGAGGCAGCATCTTCAGCTGGAGCCTTGCTGCCAGAGTGCTCCCCCCACACCGCCTCCGTGCTTTGCTCTAGAATTAGGAGGCAACCACAGCAGCAGAACAGTGCCATCCTAGGCTCCGGAGCTGTTACACAAAATTCACATAAGTGTGGGTGTGACGCCTGGCCATACTGCACAGTTTCTGAGTGTATCAGAGCTTGATGGGGGTGAGCCTGACACCCACCCTTCTCCTCACTGCCTTCCTCCCATCTCAGCACCTCATAACTGAGGCTGGCTGAAGGAAAGGAAAAGCATCAGAGATAATTCCTGAGGTGTTTTTAGGCCAGGAGGCACTGGCATGGGGCAGACTCTGCAGTCGGGTACCACCTGCCCTGTTTTACCTGTGACCAGAGATTCCTGGGAATGGGCTCTCTGCTGAAAAGGTGATGTGGGGGAAGACGTGGTCCCTTCCATCTTGGGGGAAGCTTTCCTGAGGCATTATTAAACATTCTTTTTTAGACTAAAATATCTTCTAAGTGATTACCTTCTCCTTTCTTTGCCTTTCCTCAATGGTAGAACATTTGGCTATTTGAAGCTCCCTTGTCACTTCAAATCTGTTAGAAATGTAAGTCAGAATTGAGCCCCTTCATAGTGGCTCACACCTATAATCCTAGCACTTTGGCAGGCAGAGGCAGGAGGATTGCTTGGAGCCAGAAGTTCAAGACCAGCCCAGGCAACATAGCGAGATCTTTTCTCTATTTAAAAAAAAAAAAAAAAGGAAAGAATTGAGCCTCTTGTTATTGATGCCCTCAGTGAGTCAGATTCCTCCCTATTTCTGCCAGGAATGCTGAGCGGCCCTCATGCTGGGCCTTACCTCTCCTCATGGGCTGTCTGAGTTCCCATTTGGACCCTGAAATCTGAGCTGGTGTGCTCGATGTGACTGTGTGTCACCCCCCCTGTGAGGGCTGGGAGTAAAAGAGACTCCGCTTATAGCCTCCAAATCAGCTGCCCTGTCCCTTCTGTGTGGGGTAGTCCTGTTCTTGCCTCACTTCTCTCTTTAAAGGAATGGATCCTGAAAGGCGTGGTTTAGAGTCCCCCTGCTTCCCCTTACTGCATGGCCTTCTGTGGTTGTGAGCAGGCCTGAGGGAGTGTGTAACGTGAGCATACCACCCTTGTGGCATGAATCCTGAACCTTAAGATTAAGCCTGCTTCTCAGTACCCACCTCTATGGAAGCATTTCAAGTGAAGTGTTTCAGTTAAGTAAATTGAGCTGCTGCAGGATGTTGACTAGGCCTCTGTGGACAACTGAATGCTTTTGTCTCCAGTCTTGGTAGATTTGAGGTTGTAATCAGCTGACCCTGTCTCTCTCTGTGTCATCAAGGAATACAGGGTTGTGTAACACTTTTGGCCTATCAGTCTTCTTAAAATTCCACTAGAGTATATCAGAGATACCCAGAAGATGGCATTAGAGTATGTTTCAGGGATGCTAAATACCTCGAGAACATCTTTGGAGGTCCTTGAGGGAGCCATTCCTTCCAGTGTGTCGAGTGCCAGCTGGGCAGCCTGCCTGTTTCTTCCTGTAGGCAGTGTACTTTCAGCATCTAGTACCTGGGGGTCACCTGCTGCTTTGCTGAGGTCAGCGTTCAGGACACATGATCAACACAGAGGTGTCCAAGAGCATCAGTCACACCAGGAGACATTTTGCATACCTCAGGCTGCCTGTCGCTGAGAACTGTAAGTGAGTTCTCTCGCAGCAGCACGGCTTCAGGCCTCCTGCCTGCCTTTGCTTTTCCTCGTTCCCCGGAACCTACCATGTCATTTACTTGTTATGGTTGCGTATTGTCTGACTCTCAGCTAGAGTGTAATCTCGGCAGGGATCTGTGTGTGTTTCACTCACTTGTGTATCTGAAGTGCCTAGACAATAAATATGTGTTGATCGAGGGACTTAGAATACCCTGTCAACAAGGTACAGTATCTCTACCTTAAAGAGATAGTAGTGTCAGGGGAGCTGATGACAGTGCTGTGGCCGACTCCACACCACATTAACAACCCGCAGGTTGATAGTGGCCTCCTGGCTTGTGGCATGCTGGGACCCAAAGAAGCTGCTGCAGTCAGGCGTGAGGGGATAGACGGTGCTGCACTCGGTAGATGAGGCTGTAGCACGGATCTGCTGGTCCAGTGTGGACAACAGAGAGGTGCCAGGGCAGGCCATAGGGGCCGCCTCAGAGGAACAAGGCAAGACAAGGTCCTTATAGACACCTGTAGATATCATTTCAGATAGGATCGCAGTAAAATTGGATAGACCAAGGCTGAGATTAATAGCTGAGTTGCAGAGAAAGCAGACGTAACTGTCCAAAGTCCAAGTGTTGTCATGTGGAATGTGAGGCTTGACGGCACATCCACCCTAGAGTTACAGTGGGGGCAGATCTGATTCCAGGGGTGTGCTTACTGCCTGGGGTTCCTGGTTGTTTGTCTGAGGGCAGAGACGCTGGGCACTTGTTAATGCCTGGCAACGTCTTTGTGTGTGTATGCAGGAGAAATACTGTTACATTTGCCCCGATATAGTCAAGGAATTTGCCAAGTATGATGTGGATCCTCGGAAGTGGATCAAACAGTACACGGGCATTAATGCGATCAACCAGAAGAAGTTCGTTATAGATGTTGGTTATGAACGGTTCCTGGGACCTGAAATATTCTTTCATCCGGAGGTAAGATGCTTCTTTTTCGTGTGCTGAAGCGTGTGGATGGAGCGACACTGCCACCCAGAGTGCAGAAAGAGTGGTTCCCAGGAAAGGGCCTGTGAGCAGGGTGGCTGCCATTCGGTCTTCTCCCTGTGTCCCCCGCGCAGTTTGTCTGCTTGACAGATTGTTCAGTTTGCCTCTTCATAGACTTGGTTATCTGCTTTAATAGTAAAGGGTGGGTTATACCACGTATGGGAAGACGTTCAGGAGCAATAGGAGATGATAGAATCGAAAGTAATCTCCAAAGGTTGTGGGTGGTCACATGCTGGTATTACAGGTAGCTAATCTCAAGGACTATATGGAGGTTGCCTGTGCATAAGAGTGGGATAATCTATAACCTTTTTATCTTTGGCGATTGCCCTTCCTAACTTCTAATTTTAACCCTGGACAGTGGGTCCTGCTCTTCCCTGCTGCAGGTTTTAGGTAAAGCTTCTGTCTAAGGCCAGCATTTCTGTTATTTAGATAATCTTAAGAATTAGAAATGTTATTTTAACTAGCAGTCATAAGGAATTATTAGTACTTTTGCAGAAAACGGTAATTAAGAGGCACATTTTAAGATTTACATATAATGCATTTTATTTATATTTTGGTATATTTTCCTGGCTAATTCAGTTTATATTCAGAAGGTGGGTTATAAACTGCTTCTTATTTTTAGATATGTATGTGTCTATTTTGTACAGAGAAACAGCAGAGAATGTTACCTCACTAGTAATCTGATGAATAAAATTATACCAGTGATAGTGTAGTGAATGCTCACTTTTAATAGTATTGATGGAAATGTGTCACATGTCCAGAGAACAGCTGGTGAGCACCTGAACGTCTTCCTCCTTCCTCTGAGTTGACACTTGAAGTTTTCCTTGATTTTTAAAATATTTCAAAGGAAATGTAATTGAGCTGAATTAGTTATACTTTAGCTTATGTGACTTATGGAATTGAATCTAAGGCTTTGTATTCAGTAACATGGTCATCATGTGGCTTGTTTGATTTTAAACAAACTTCTCATTAAACAAAACACTTCCCCATCTTCTAGAGCAAGTTTAATTAATCTTTCATTGAACCTGTTTCTTTTTTCCTTGTATCCTAATTTTCTCCTAACACTATTGTCAGATATACACTCACGCTTCTCGCTGCACTTCACACAGATCGTGCACATGCTTCCCACTTCTCTTATTAGGCAAATCACTGTGTATTCATGATGTAGGGATGGTCTGTCTTTGTTATTGTTGGGTATTTTTTCTTCACTAAGTCCACACGTTTTACCTCATGAGGAGAAATTTGTCATCACTGCCCCACGCACACGTAGTCACGTGGGATTCATTTGACATATCCTTCATTCCAATGTGAATTGTTTTAAGTTTTAATAAATTGTATATTTGTTAAAGTTACTTTACAGAAGTTTTCCTGTTGTTCTATTCGAGAGAAATGTGCAATGTTTGTTTTATATTGATACACAATTCAGTTTGCCAACCCAGACTTCATGGAGTCCATCTCGGACGTTGTTGATGAAGTGATACAGAACTGCCCCATCGATGTGCGGCGTCCACTGTATAAGGTATGAGCTGCCTGGGTAAGAGACTTCCATCTCATTCCACATTCTTAGACGAGGGTGTTACTGTCTAGTGCTAGCAGATGGTCCTATTTCACCTTCTGTTTTATAGGATTTATTAAAGACAGTGTAATTGTAAGAGAAAATGGAAAGTGACTCAATTAACTAGAAGTTTTTTTATTTGGAGATGGAGTCTTGCTCTGTTGCCCAGGCTGGAGTACAACCGAGCGATCTCAGCTTACTACAACTTCTGCCTCCTGAGTTGAAGCAATTCTTCTGCCTCAGCATCCTGAGTAGCTAGCTGGGACAATAGACACCTGTTGCCACGCCTGGATAATTTTTTTTTTTTTTTATATTTTAGTAGAGACAAGGTTTACCATGTTGCCCAGGCTGGTCTTGAACTCCTGAGCTCAGGTAATCCACCCGCCTTGGTCGCCCAAAGTGTTGGAATTACAGGTGTGAGCCACCGCACCTGGCCAACTATAAATATTTAAGTATTGTAAATATATTTTATTTTCTGACAAGATATATCTTAAGCTGGACAGTTTTAGCCACACATATTGATTGAAAGTCAGAGTGATACCCTCCCCCATGCTGTCTGTGAGCTCCATTGGTTTCGTTTCATGCATATTTGGGTTTAGTGCCGACCTGCTGTTGTCAGATAGAAGTAGAGCCCAAAATGGGACAGTCAAACAGAATATGCTCATGTATTTTTTTTTTCAGAGTTCTTTGATTGCAGGGAATTTTGAAACCTGGAATGAGAAAAATCTAGTCTATGTGATTATTGAGTAAAAAGAAATCTCACTGACAGACAGAGACTGTGAGCAGAAGGCGATGGCCATTTAGGCTTCTTTCATCTTTAATTAACCTTTGCTTGAGTGAGTCATGCTGTCACCTCTCACTATCATGACTTCACTTACCTTATTCAGACTCAGGTAGCTGAATTGTAAAGAGGAGGGAATCAGGCTCAACAGAGAGCACTCAGTATTGCTTCACCTATACCCTGGAATACTATGTAACTTTGTAAAAGAATAGGTGACTCAGTATAAATTCACATGAAAAGATAGCTATAGTTATATATCAAGTAAAAAAAGCAACTTGTAAAATTTACATAAATTTCATTTTATATAAAATATAGTTTGCATAGTTTTGAATTATGTATGCTAAACTCTTAAATATCTTTGGGATGGAATGATGGATAACTTTTACTTTCTATTTTTGTGTGTTTTAAAGTTGTTTGAAATTTTATTGTTAAATTTTTTTCTGTTTAGATAACTTTTGTGGGTGTAAACAAATTGTAGGTCAGTTTTTACTGCATATTCTTAAATACTTTTCTAATAAAAAGTACAAAGAAAGGGAAACAAAAGAGACTGGGGTATGAAAATTAAAGATAGCATGTTAAGTCCTTTCCACTTCTTAAATCCTGCCTGACATTAACTGGGTCTTCTCATCGGTGAAAGCAAGCGCCGGGTGAGCACTGTTCAATCTTAATCCCATCATAACGCAGAGGAAACTGCCTGCAGGTAAAGATTGCTCCTGATGGGGTGGAAATTTTCTTGTTTGACAGTTTACTTCCCTGGACTTTATAGAAGTTTTGGAGTAGCAGTGGTCTTGGAGACCATGTAGATGGAGCCCCTTATTTAGTAGATAATGACACTGAGCCCCAGAGTTGGGAAAAGGTGGCAAAAGATACCTGGGTTACGTGCTAGGTGAGATCACAAGGCTGCCAAGTAGCATGGTTGCCTTTTAAGTCAATTTTCCATGTCTTTGAAAACTCATGCTTTTCCCACCATATCATACTGAAAATTATGTAAAATGTGGAGGGAAGAGGATTTTCTTTTTGTCGCCCACGCTGGAGTGCAGTGGCACGATCACAGCTCACTGCAGCCTCCCAGGTAGCTACAGGCACATGCCACCACTGCCAGCAATATTATTCTTCAAAGAGGGAAACCCTGTTCCTGACCACTTTGTCGCCAGGATAATCATTTCTTCTCTGTGGTTTTCAGGAGGGTATGGCTTGGCCCTGGCTGTCAAGTTTGTGCAGAATAAATCCTGTCCTCCAGCAACCATCTTGGTTTTTTGTATAGGACCTCTCCAGTGTTATGACTGCCTTACAAGTGATTTGAAATTCATGTAGGGTTGAGAGGTGGAAGGACTGAATGTCCTAGTGTTGGCCATGCTTTCTCCTTTATCATGTAGCTGAGCTGTATACCCCGTGGAGGGAAATGAGAGACATGAAGGAGGCCACCTCCTTTGCCACCTTTCTAAGTTACAGTCAGAGTAGACCAGAATATGATAATTGGAAAAATTAAGCCAGAATCTCAGTGTTTAGCAGCAAAGGTTTATTTCTTTGCACGTGGTTCCTAGCTGGTGTGGTCGGAAGTAGCCACTATGTTGTGGCTGTCCTTCTGGAACACATCACCATGGGTCCCCACTGCTGGGTGGAGGCAGCTGGTGGGCTGCTCCACCCCTCCACGGCTGTCACGTGGACCAGCCTCCCACCAGCACTGGAAGCCATGAAGGTGGTGTTTGGTGGGCACCACTGCCTTTCCCATAGCCACCGAGAAGGGGGCCTCTTTCTAAAGCATGGAGCTTGATGACTAGATTGAAGCTTAGTATTCGGGCCTAAGAATGCCCATTTCTGTGCATTAGCCTGCCAGGTAACAGCTGCTGTAGTTTTTTTTTTTCCCATATGGTGATATCAGACCAGGAGCTGGCCAACTTTTTCTGTAAAGGGCCAGATGGTGAATCATTTTGGCTCTGTAAGCCGTATGGTCTGTGCTGCATTTATTCAATTCTGCCAGAGCAGCCAAAGACCGTGTTGAACGACTAGGCGTGGCTGGGTTCCTATAAAGTTTTATTTACAAAAGTGGGAGAAAGCCTGTTGGAGACATGTGAGGAGTTCCTTATGAAAGCCTCATTCTAATACTGTCCGGGTCGGCCTGGGGTCATCACCTGCAGACTCCCCTCAGGCTGTGCGTGTTGAGGCATGGCCTTTGCTAGTTCCTCAGCAATTCTTTGCTGTGTTTAGGAAAGACTGTGGAGGGGTCACTGCGGAGCTCTGCTCACAGCTCAGGGTAGAGTCACGCACAGCTTGGCCAGGGCTTCTGCTGACTTGGTTTCCGGAAGCTGTCAGCCCTGGAGGAGGGTCCTTCCAGAAGTAGCCTCTTGGAGCAGTGAAGCCGCACTGACAGGGTTTGCTCCTTCTCAGTGCGCTCCCTCCTCTGCTCCCTTCTCTAACTCCTTCTACTCCTAAGTGCCCGAAAAGCATCGTCTGTGGTAGCAAATGCACAGATCTGTAGGTTTGTGGGTTTTTAAAAATAATTCTAAAACACTCTTCTGGTTAGAAGACATGATACAGATACTTCTGCAGAGCACACAGTTGCCTTTCTCTGACAGCCAAGCATCCCTGTGTCCTAGGGGTGTACTTTTCCTTTTGGTCTTACCATGCTGCATCCTTCCCTTCTCTGTCCTTGATGTTGCTTCCCACCTGCTGGGCCACTCTTGCCGGGCGAGATGCCCTCTCTCCAGGAGCGATGGGGCCGATTCCTGACCTGGTTCTACAGCCTCGTTTGGGCAGCTGTGCTGGCCACACTGGGTGCCCTGAAGATGTGCTTTTGTTGTCAGAGGAGGTTGTTGCTCTCCCTCTGCCACACCTGCTCCTCGAGGCGCTCATCTGGACCAGTGGGGCTGGGCTGTTTATATTTCCTGGACCATTGGTGGGATTGAGCACTGCGGAGCAAGTAGGAGGTGCACACTTTAGCTTCTGCTGAAACCCTCCTGGCCACTGCGTTACTCAGACTGACAGACGAGGAGAGGACAAGAACATAGAAAGTGAGAATAAAAGATGGTTTGGAAAATTTAGAATCTTTTCCCCCCAGCTTTATTGAAATATAATTTTTAATTTTTATGAGTACTTAGTAGGTATATTATTGAGGTATATTGACAAGTAACGTGTGTGTGTGTGTGTGTGTATAATATATATAAACTTTTAAGAGTAGGGAAATTGTGTATATTTAAGGGGCACAGAGTGATGATTTGATACAGTATATGCATCGTGGAATGTTGACCACAATCAAGCTAATGCAGACATCCATCACCACACACAGCTACCTTTTTGAATGTGTGCAGTGAGAATGTGTGAGGTCACTCTCTGAGCCGATTTCTACCACACCGTACACACTTCCCACTGCATTCAGTGTGCTGTGATTAGGCCTGCAGAGCTGGCCCATCTTCTCACAACCTCCTCTGTTTGTTCCCTCTGGCCAGCATCTCCCGACTCTGCAGTGCCTGGTCACTACCATTCTGCTCTCTGCTTCTATGAGTTTGACTAAAAATCCAGACTCTTTATGAGTTTGACTAAAAATCCAGACTCTTTACACAAGCAAAACTGTATTTTTAGATAAAAGTAGCCATCATCTGTCTGATTTTTATTTCAGTCTGACTTGTAGATGAGAAGGGTATTTATACATGTGCTTTATCTGTTCGGCCCCTAGGAATGACAGGATCGGGGGGTCCTGGGGGAAGCCTCTGTGTGAGAGCAGGTGAAAACAAGCTCCACCCACCCTCTTCATCCAGGAGCTGTAAAATAGACCAGAGTCTGGGTCCCACCCTAGGGGATTCTGATGTAATTGGGCTTGGGCTGGGGGGAGCCTGGGCACCTGGGTCTTAGAAGCTCCCCCGGTGACTCTGATGTGCAGCCAACCTGAGAACCACTGTCAGCACCAGCCCACTCCTCTATCCGCCAGTGTTTAGTAACTTGAACACTTTACTTGAGGGGGAAGCCAGTTTGAATTGCTTTGTAATGTGATAGATGTCTTTCTGCTTCTCAGTTCTATTCAGGAGGTACTTGAGTACCTGTTAGGTACAAGATACTATTGTTAAATTAGGGGATTTAAGTGTGTACGAGATATGGTTCTTGTCTTCAAGAGCTAATAAAGAAGCTAAAAATACTGAAATAACTCTAATGGGAACCACTACAAACTAAATGTCATTTAAGTGAATCA